CTGTGAAACATGGCCAATGAGAGTAGAAGATACTCGTCGGTTATTGGTTTTCGATCATAGATGTCTTCGAAGCATTGCTCGTATATCGTGGGACAACCGAGTGAGCAACGCTGTTATTAGGAAACGGGTACTAGGTAAGAATGGCAGATCAATCGATGAAGTGGTGAAACTTCATCAGTTGAGGTGGTTGGGACACGTGTTGCGTATGCCTAACCACCGACTGCCTCGTCGAGCTTTGTTTTGTAGTGTAGGAATAGGTTGGAAGAATGTTAGGGGCGGCCAAACCAAAACATGGCAGAAATCCATGAAGTCATTGACGAGTGGACTTAGCCATGTCGGTAATAGTCGACTACCTGGTTGGGGTCCGCGAGATGATAATAATCGATGGCTAGAGACCTTGAAGGACATGGCTCAAAATCGTTCGCAATGGCGCCAGTGCATTTATTCTTTGTGTTCTCTCAAATCCTAATCTTCTGAGTTCTTCAACACCTCTAGTTTTTACTTTCTAAACTTATCTCATTTAATCATACTTCATGAATAATATCTCCTAATCCTAACCTCTCCGATTACTTCTAATACCTTTACTACCTCTTCTACTATTGGATTTGAATTGACAATTATATCTCTGTGCTGATGTGGTATGGCGACATGAACTGATGTACTTACGTACGAAGTTCTACGTTGCAACTGACTGACTGACTGAACTTTCTTCCAACCTACTCCTACACCGCAAAACATAGCTCGTCGAGGCAGTCGGTGGTTAGGCATAGGTAACACATGTCTCAGCCTCCTCAACTGATGAAGTTTCATTTCTTCATCTATTGATCTGCCATCCCTACCTAGTACTCGTTTCCAAGCGATATTCTCTATGGTATACAATGTTCAAAAGAATGAATGTTGAGTAAATAACTGTCATCATAACCTTTATAGTGACCGTTCAATATATATATATATATATATATATATATATATATATATATATATATCGTTGGGATATAATGTAAACACATCATCAAATTTATAATCGTCTCGTGACCAATCGATATTGAGCAGTGTACATTTTCTGTAAATGTGTACTAGTCTACATTACTCTGTCTACTAATAATATGTATAACTTGATTTTTGACTATTACTAGTCAGACCACAAATTGTAGGCATAGAATATCCACATTACACTTTGTAACAACACAATAAGTCGCATTAATGTATGCCACGTTAGTCAGGATGCTTATTTCATCGATCATCATCCTATGTAGTCAATCATCAGATAGGGTGATTAGATATTACAACATCAGCTGTATATCACAGTATGACTTATGTAATTATTGATTTGGTACGAATAGTGCCTTTCATTGTTTATTTGCTCGTTGAAAAAAATAATGAGTTTTAAGCTGGGAATGAATTACTCTATTTTATGATTATTACGTATACTATGCTATAATATAATATAATATAATAATTTACTTTCAGACATGGTTGACTGAATCTACTGAAGTTTTGAATAAATCACCAACAAATGAAGATCCTCCAATTTTAGTTTCAACCATTCGAAGCAAAGAGAATGAATTATCACGAGAGATTAATTATTATACTACTAAAATAAATTTATGGAGATCAGATATTGCTCGTATGTTTGTTGAACGAAGCAAAATGAATGTTACGGATTCTTTGAAAGGTTTGTGATTGAGGGTTTTATTTTTCCAAAAACAATTTTTTTTGGTCACACTTTTCATTGTTCTTACTTTTTATCGGAGTCACTCATGAAAAGAACATAAATGCTTCTAAATATACAGTCGATATTATGGAAATGATAGAATATATACTGTGTGCTATACGCTATGAAGAAATCAAGATTAGCATTATCAAATATGTGGTGTGATGTGTGTCAACCAGTTAGATATTAGAGGACAGACAGACAAATACAACGCAGAACTGCGTACATAAGTACATCAGTTCAGGTTGCCATACCACATCAGCAAAGAGACAAATGTCAGTTCAAATCCTAGAGTGATAGCAATAATAGAAGTATTAGTAGTAATGAAGATTAGGGAACGAAGATATGATTCAAGAAGTATAATTCAGTAAGATAAATTTAGAAGGACAAAGGTAGAGATTATGAGGAATTCAGAAGGATAGAATTAGAGAGAACACGAAGAGTGGATGCATATGCGCCATCGCAAACGATTCTGAGCCATATCAATCAAGGTGTCTAACCATTGGTTGACTTTCGTCTCGCGGACCCCAACCGGGTAGCCTACATCTACCAACATGACTCATTCCACTTGTCAATGACTTCATGGATTTCTGTCATGTTTTGGTTTGGCCACCCCTAACTGCCTTCCAACCTATTCCTACACTATAAAACAAAGCTCGTCGAGGCAGTTGGTGGTTAGGCATACGTAACACATGTCCCAACCACCTCAACTGATGAAGTTTCACTACTTCATCTATTGATTTGCCATCCCTATCTAGAACTCGTTTCATAACCACAGCATTGCTTATACGGTTGTCCCATTATACACAGCAATGCTTCGGAGACATTGATGATCGAAGACTGGTAACCTACGAAAGTCCTCTACTCTTAACGTCCAAGTCTCTCATCCGTACAGTAGGACGGAGCAAACTGCTGCACAGTACACTCATCCTTTGGTTAGCAAACGGATATCTCGCCTGCGCCATTGGTGATATTAGATATTAGAGGAGTTCTGTTAAATCTACTTTCTTGAGACATAAACATAAAGTGGACTTCATGGGGCGTCTTTTTTGTCCATGAATATTTTGATAATCTAAATCACAGTGTAATCTTAGACTAACCATTGAAAACCAGAAAGCACTGGATGTCTGGCTCACCTTAACATTTACGATCTATGATTACAAAGAGGGTATAACTCAGAACTTTTCTTCTCATATCCAAAAGTTTAACCTGTAAACTACTGAACCGACTGGTGACATTGGATAAAACCATCTTTCGTCGATTGCAGTGGATAAACTATCTCACACCCAAAATAGTTGAAATCCCTTGATCGCGATCACATTGCCTTGCACTAGAACTTTAAAAATTACATGTCTAAGTTAGTCACTAGTGAAAAACGGGTTGATGGGAATTGTAGAAATTCTGATTTTTTTAAGAAATGATCCTGAATAAAATGGATTAAGCTGAGACACATGAACCATTGGATGTTAGGCCAATGGCTTTAAGGTTAAGTGCTTTTTTTACACATAGGATGACGCACTTAAAAATTCCAAGTTCGATCCTCACTAGGGTAGTTAGTGCATGTGCTCTGTTGTTCTATGAAATAACTATGTATCCATTGTTCCTTGTTTTTTCAATGATAATTCATCTAAAAATCAATTCATGTTTGAAACTATGGAGAATTCTACAATAACCACAATCCCCTTTTGACTAAATATATATATATATTTTTAAATCTTGTTTTATACCACTAGATAAAGTACAAATGCCAACTAGTAGTAACGACAATGAGAAAATCATTCCGGAAACACCAACTTCTAAAAATGATGAGGAGCCTACAACAAAGTCAACAGAAGAAACTACACGTATGTTCCATTGTTTACATTCACAATATAAAAATCTAACAAATGGAGTGTTTTTTTTAAAATTTAATTGTTAAAATAGAATTATTATTATTGTTTGATTAATTTCCAGTTTTATTGTTTGATAATTTGGCGAGATGTTTGCCATTTGTTTCATATCACTTGATTCAGTTTAGCATTCTAATACGCATTAAGTTATGTGTGCTACAGTGACTGACATAATTTAATTGTTAAACAATCAGCTAAGCAGCTGAATGACTCAAAATCCGTTCGGACAAGCCCATATACATTAAACGTATGGTTACGCATTCGGTTTGCCCCCATTTACACGAAATCATGTTTAAATATTGTTAGGTGAAAGTAAACTGTACACTCATCTGTTTACTTAAGGGGGAATCAGTTCGTCAAAATGAAATAATATTTAACTTCGTCATATGTGCTGATCGTATTAAAAAATGTTGATCATTTCAAAGGTTGGAAAAAATTTGAAATCGCATGTTGAAATATTAGTTATTTATAGTTGAGTATTTCCAATCTTATATACATAACTAGGTGGTTATTAAGAGGAAGGAAGGAAACGGGCATAGGCGAGATATTAGTTTGCTGACTAAAGGACGAGTGTACTGTGCAGTAGTTCGCTCCGTCTTACTTTATGGCTGTGAAACATGGCCAGGAGAGTAGAAGATATTCGTAGGTTACTGGTTTTTGATTATAGGTGTCTTCAAAGTATTGCTCGTATATCCTGGGACAACCGAGTGAGCAACGCTGTGATTGGGAGACGGGTGCTAGGTAAGGATGACAGATCAATAGATGAAGTGGTGAAACTTCATCAGTTGAGGTGGTTGGGAAATGTGTTATGTATGCTTAACCACCGACCTCCTCGACGAACTATGTTTTGTGGTGTAGGAATAGGTCGGAAGAAATCTAGGGGCGGCCAAACCAAAACATGGCCGAAATCCATGAAGTCACTGACAAGTGGATTGAGTCATGTCGGTAGTTGTCGACTACCTGGTTGAGGTCCGTGAGATGATGATAATCGATGATATTAGAGACCTTGAACACAGTGCTCGAAACCGTTTGCAATGGCGCAGGTGCATTAATTGTTTGTGTACAATGAAATCCCTAACTTCCTAATTCTTCATCACTTTATCTTTTTAAATTTATTTCACTAGATTCTACTTCTTGAATAATATGTTCTAATCCTAACCTCTCCGACTACTTCTAATACTTCTAATACCTCTACTACTATTGGATTTGAATTGAAAATTACATCTTTGTGCTAATGTGGTATGGCAACATAAACTATGGTCAAGCGTAAACTGATCTCATTTTTTTATTGACTAGTTGACGGTGTACTTCGATTCTCCAATCCACTTGTAATGAATGGTTAAGAGTATTTATCTAAGCAAATGCCGAATATTGTAATGTTTTCCAGTTTTGTTTTTTGCAGTGTGCATTATTTTTACCAAAAACAATTAACAGTTGTTAGTTATTTGATGATGTAGAAATCAAATGATGAATAATTTTATTATAATTTTCTTCATTGTTACTTAACACAGAGACACCAAGGCCGGAGTTGTAAACTTCATGTGTAAACTTCAAACGACTGATGAGAAATCAAACCAGCTGAAGAAGCTATGCTCGCTCTATCTACTCTTTCTTTCTTGATTGATTGATTGATTGGTTGATTTATACACAATCCTTGTTATTGAATATTATTTATTATATTAGTCTGTTTTCATACAAATTTATCTTTCGCTTACTAATTCTTTATTCATATAAATTTAATATTTTTTACTGTGATGTCTTCTTCTTCATTGTTTGTGTAAATTTCTTTCTTCTTTCATTGTTTAAAAGCAATCCAACATAACAAAAACACAAACTAGGTTTTGTAAGCTTTACATTCATTCATTCATTTATGGATGGTAATAATAATAATAATAATAATAAATGTATTTTTTGTAATTTAAATCTATCCATTTTGTGTACTTCATTCAGTGAATATACTATGTATTGTTTGGTATTTGTCTTGTCACAGTGATCATAAGTGTCTTTGAAGCATTGCTTGTATATCCTGGGACAACACCCGAGTGAGCAGCGTTGTTATTAGGAGACGGGTGCTCGGTAAGGATGGCAGATCGATAGATGAAGTGATGAAACTTCATCAGTTGAGGTGGTTGGGAAATGTGCTGCGTATACCTAACCACCGACTGCCTCGACGAGCTTTGTTTTGTAGTGTGGGAATAAGTTGGAAGAAAGTTAGGGGCGGCCAGACCAAAACATGGCATAAATCCATGAAGTCATTGACGAGTGGACTGATCCATGTTGGTAATTGTCGACTACTTGGTTGGGGTCCGCGAGATGATAATAGAGACCTTGAATGACATGGCTCAGAATCGTTTGCAATGGCGCCAGTGCATTTATTCTTTGTGTTCTCTCAAATCCTAATCTTCTGTATTCTTCAACCCACCTAGTTTTGACTTTCTTAACTTATGTCAGTGAATCATACTTCTTGAATAATATCTTTTAACCCTAACCTCTCGGATTACTTCTAATACCTTTACTACCTCTATTACTATTGGATTTGAATTGAAAATTACATCTCTGTGCTGATGTGGTATGGCAACATGAACTGATATACTTACGTACGAAGTTCTACGTTGCATCTGACTGACTACACAGTGAAGAAAATTTCATTATCGACTATTTTATTATCAAAAGTTGTGTATTATTGTGCTGCATTGAGAATAGGGAAAGTGTTGCAAATAGGTTTGGTAGTGTAACATGCTTAAAAATAAACTGAATTGAAAAGCACATGGAGTACAGTTTGTCATCCTTGATGCAATTATTTTAATTATATCAACAAATAGTTGGATCATCAAGTTGACTAGAAATTATTGGATATATATACGAGCATACATACATCTAGAATATAATGAGCGATTTGACAGTGTTGCCTAGGCTAGATGGTTTGTTTGTAAAGATTTCATTGTCCATTTATGAACAATATCATCATCAGCGTCTACTTCATGTATTCTGGTTGTGTCGCAAATATTAAATCAGTTTGTTCTGATCATGTTGTTAGTTTTTGTAGGTTTTTGTTGCCTTGATTTGCTGCCGAACTCATATTATTCAACTTTTTCAACTGACCTCTGAACTTTGTTTTGATTGACCTCTCTTGTACAGGTTGAACTTATGTTAATAGACTTAGTTTGACATAGTTTTCTCCATTATAAGAAAAGGAGTTTGTTATGATTTTACTAGTAGATAAATAAAGGTCAGCCTAAATAGGAATAAGAATTGATTATAGGTGATCATTTAGTGATAATAATATAATAATAAGTGAAGTAACTGGGTCTATTCGTTTATACAGAACGTTAAGGATAGCATGAGTTTAAAAATGGAAGGGTTGGTAAGTAAATAAAACACTTAAAAAATGTAAATATTCAGAACAGACTTAAGTCATAACATTGAAGGCTAAACTCCAACTCAGAGTTCGCTACTGGTTAGTCATGGTCAACTATGTGGTTCAGTACAAACGATCTTATACTTTCCCACTATCTTTTACTAAGTCATGCCGCCTTGTCTTCTTATGCTTCGACAGATGTTCCTTGATGAAAAAACCTGTTTTCATAGTTTCACATGAACAGATAAATAAAACAAATCAATATTGAATTAGTTAAACGACGTAACATGCCTTTCGCAGAAGTATTCACTAGTGACCGATTAATTTTGTATACTTGTAATGATTGGTTCTTTTTTCCATAGAACTACCCTCCAGCCACTACAGTTCACTTGACGCCAATCACAAAGAGAACTACTGGTGGGATATAATTTGTATTACGAAAGATGGAATAACAATTGACACTAATAAAGTTTCCTGTAGTACGCAGAGTCGCCATTAGAAGATTTTAGTATCATCCAACAAACCAATCAATGTATTCAGTCCTGTACATAGCATAAAATCGTTAGGTGTATATTCTATTTAGTCGGCTGCAACATAGAACTTTGTACTTACGTACATCAATTCAAATCACTACGCCACTAGCACAGAGTTGCAATTGTCAATTCAAATCCCATAGTGGTAATGGAGAAGATTAGAGTTCAAGAAATATGATTCAGTGAATATAAATTTAAGAAGAGAATGGTGATGAATCCAAAAGATTAGGGTCAGGTAGAAGACAAAGAATGGATGCATCTGCGCCATTGCAAATGATTATGAGCAGTCATCCAAGGTTCTTAACCATTGGTTGCTAACGTTTTGTGGACGTCGATCAGGTAGTCTACTAACATGGCTCAGTCCACTTGTCATTGATACACTGAACTGGTGATATATTTTGATTTGACTGTCCCTAGCTTTCTTCCAACCTATTCCTACATCACTAAACATAGCTTGTCGATGCAGTCAGTGGTTGGGGATTCGTCCCAACCACCTCAACTGATGAAGATTCACTACTTCGTCTATTGATCTGCTATCCCTACCTAGTACCCTTTTCCTAACAACAGTATTGCTCACTTCATGGTCCCAGAATATAAGAGCAATATTTCAAAGATACCTATGATCCAATACTAGCAACCTACGAATATCCTCGCTTTTTACTGTCCATATTTCACACTGGTAGAGTAGGAAGGAGCGAACTGGTGTGCAGTAGACTCGTCCTTTGGTTGGTAGACGGATATCTTGTCTACGCCATAAGTTGGTAAAAGCCGGTTGATCCTTCTGTATGCATGTTCAGGTTTCGTTACACACCAGGCTATCAGCACTGACGAGACTCCCAAGATAAGTGAGGCTCAACTACTCCAATCCTTATCCACTAGTACAGGTGCCGATGAAAGCTAATCCCGAAGCAACATTCTGCATGTCGAGGGGGTGAATCGCATCAAAATATTTCTTGAGATAACGTCCAGTTTATTGTCACAGCAACCTTTTAGTGTTTGTTCTTAATTTTTTTGGTCTCTAAAAATGAAGTTTGTACTAAACAGACAATAACTTTTCCGAACATTATCATGTTTTTCGAGTTTCCATAATACTTGCGATTTACTGAAATCTAAATTCATAGAATTTATCTATTGCTTAGGTCACTGTCACTTATTTTTATGGGTGTTTCCTCTATGTTGAAGTGAATGTTGATTATAGGTAATCCTTAAAAACCTATTAATACCAGTTAAAGTTAGTATTTTCCCTGAACGAATTAATATGTACTGAGTATTTGTTTAGTAACGAAATGTGTTTTTCATGATTAAGAGACCTTTGACCTTAATATATATTGCCTAAGTGATTTTATGGTTTTCTATATTTAACTTGTTCCTTATTTAGAAGTGTACAATGTATTTTGGTGTCAATGTGCACCTGTAAATTCAACATGAAGTACACTTTTAATCAACTTTTTAATGGGAATTTCGAAACGTACTGTTCCTAGATGTTAGATAAAGCAGTGAATATTTTCACCCATCATTAGAAATACAAGGTTTGTTTAGTTGTAAGAGCTTTGCTGAATGGTTTTAATTTATATGAGCAAATTTATTGCAATTAGTCTGTTAGTAAACACGAAACTCCCGACCGTAGCTACCTTGACATGGTGGTCGGGCTTGCCTATCGTCATGACCCAACCGAGTTATATTGGCTTGAACTTATGTCCCTGAAGGTTCTACCATGCCAGGCAGGTCCATTTAGAGAACGATGAGACTAAAAGCAGCTACTCAAGGTCTGAGGGCGAAGTCATACAGCTGACTGCAGAGAGGTGTGACAGCAGTAAGGTGTTTCCCTCGGACAACTAGCATCTGCAGCGATGCTGCCTTCTCACAAGGAAGGAAGGGTTAGAAAAGGTCGACTCTAAAAATGTCACACCTCACCCTACCTCACGGATTTCCGTCTCCGGTGATAAGGGTGCTTACTAAGGGCTTTCAAGAGCGGAGCTAATAATCAAAAATCCTTTTATGAAAAGGCCGTGCGTGACCAGCCTCAAGCAGTTATCCCTTGGGCTCTGCGGTCACGCTCTCAGGTCTCTAAGACCAACGCTAATCTATTGTACTTTTCAGGTTACTCAATAGACACCCTTCCACGGTGTGGGCAGCCGGGAAGTGACAACCACACTCATACCCATAAAAGCATACGATGAAAATATGAAACTATACATAAGCGAAAGATTGTTTTATTAAATATTCACATGTATTATGTGAACACTGATAACCCATATAATAATGTTTCGAACTATGGAATAAGTTTCACTGAATAGTTGCAAGTTATTGATTAGTGAGTAGTTTTACGAACTGAATTATGTTCAATTCATCCTGAAAACACAAGTTGCATTCATCAGCGTCAAAGTATCATCGAAAACTAAATAGCACTAGATTACTATGTTGTCCTAGTGTCGAACTCGAACAATGCACAATTTTAATCCTTCCAACAATGGAACTCCACATTTTCATGGTTCATGATCAATGACTAATGATTCGAATCCCTAGGGCTTCAAATCGGATGATACAGTTTCAATTTTGATCAATTTGGTCTCTCGTGCTGTTACGGGTATGAGGGCGGTTGTCACTACCCGGCTGCCCACACCATGGGAGGTTGTTTCTTGAGGGACCTGAAAAGGAAGATAGATTAGGGTTGGTCTTGGAGACCTGGGTGCGTGACCGTAGAGCCCAAGGGATAACTGCTTTAGGCCGGTCACGCACGGCCTTTTTATGAAAGATTTTTGGAGTATTAGCTCCGCTCTTAAAGGCTCTTAGTGGGCACCCTTACCGACGGAGATGGGAATCGGTGAGGTGTGACATTTTTAGGGCCGACCTT